CATGAAACGTTTGTCATTTCTGAAGACCCAGAACACAGATTTCCAAAGCAGTGACTGGCACTCTGCCCCAATAGCATACACAGATCTTAAACTTTAGACATTTAGAGAATATTTTAGGAAACAATCCCAATTTCACACAGTTTTGACTGGCAATTTTTAGCTATATCCTTTACCAAAGATACGGCTCGAGTGAAATAGCAAAAGCAGTTTTAAAAGTTTGCCAAGCCATTAAATGAAGGGTTCTAAAATTTCCCTTGGTTTTCCATGATTTTATTCTCTAATTTAAAATAATAACTGCATTAAAATACAACTTTAACAGTGAAAGCAAAATCAGATTTGCTTCTGGATCTAGAGCATACATCCAAGAGAGGCAACTTATTGTCCTAGCAGATACATGGAATGCTTCAAAGCAGAGTCCGACATACTCTAGTAAGGCATTTCAAAGCAGACACACCATACCCAAACAAAATCATTACGGCCAGCTGAAGATACCACAAAGTAAACACCAATTAACACATAATCAACATGAAATTCTTACTAAATGACACACTGATTTACAAAACCACAGAAAGGTACTCAGGTACCAAAAGAAGGCAAAACAATGACTAGCCACTCTGATAGAGTTTTGTTCCCATACATGCCAGATTTGCAGAGTAGAAATAAAATTCTTTATATGTGCTTTTCCCTGGGATAATATCACTCATCCTGACACATGGAGTTACTTTTCTTTAAAAAATATATCATGTACAGAATACACATATAATCAGTGATACAGAACATTTATTTCACTAGTGAGGGGGTCACTTAAGCACTTACATAGAAAGATTCATGAGTGAATCATGAAGGTCATTTAAACACAAAAAAAATCTGATAAATGCTGCATTATTAGTATTCAACAGTACAGTGAGACTTTTAGCAATTGCATTGAGCTTAATTAAGAACTATGACCATGAGAATCTTTAAGTTCAAAGAATCATGAAATCTCTAAAAATAAAAGTCTAATCAGTAAAAATACGTATTTTCCTTTTAAGGGTGCAAAGGAAATGTTTCAGTTATTTTGGAAAACATGAATCTTATCAAATAAGCATAAGAAAATGAATCAGGAACTTCTAAGTTTCAATTTTGATTTAGTTTTACCCATCGAATCTTCATGACCTGCAGCAAATCACTTAAATTCTTCAGATTTTATCCACAAAAAATGGGCACAAAAATAAAGACATTCAAAAAAATTTCTAAACATTACTAGAGTAACGCTAACAATGGTTACTAAGACTCACAATTTCAACAACTCACTGTACAGTACAATCATTTGTAATTCTGCTAATTATAGCTAGAGGAGGAATGGGCGATTATAATTCTCTGAGAATTCAAATTCTTTTGATAAATTAATAGTTTCAACTTCCTAAACTACTATCTGTCCCCCTAGAACAGCTAATCATACATGAGCTTGACCCTTTACACCCCTCTCCTGGTGGAGCAGCTGAGAGTAGTGAAAGGAGATGGAGCAACAGGGAGAAAAGCAGCGATGGGAATGAGGCGTAGGCTGGCTTCATAAACCCCAATCAGTAATTTAGTTTTTTGAAGAAGCTGCATAGTTCAGCAAAAAAATACATCATTAGAAGAAGGATGAGGAAAACATTCTTATCTTGAAACTTTAAAGTTTATGACAATTAAGCATTTTAAATGACCCACTCAAGAAAACTTCAGTTTGAAAATGAGTTGTCTTCCATCACTCTAAGCACACACAAAAACAGAAACTACAAGACTAAATCCAAAAGAAAAACAAATACATTAATTGGCTCAGGTTATCAACTTCCTACACTGCTTTCAAACAGATACTAATATTTAAACAAGTATTAAACCCTAGTTAATGACACCTACATTGACGTGTTCAGGGTAGTGTATTGTCTGAAATTTACATCAAAACGTAGAAGAATAAAACCCAATGAATTGATGGATAGAGAGAGAGAGAGACAGTTATATGGTAATACAAGCATAATAAAATGTTAATGGTAGAATCTAGTAATAGGTATATTGTAAAGTTTTTCTAACTTGGACATATGTTTGAAGTTTTTCATAATAAAATGTTGAGGAAAATGTTAATATTTCTATAATAAAATTAACTGAGCAGTATGTTTTAAAGATTCTAAGTACTCAGGCAATTTAGAATTTTAATTAATTGAAGTAGGGAAAATTTTGCTTGAAAAGGCCTCAAACCTGATTTGTGAAGATGCCTCTCAATGCGGAGATGAACTAACAAAATTTATAATTATTGCACCAGACAGTCTCTTCATACACTTTATTTGCAAATACATAATTCTGTCCTTTCTACTGGAAAGACAAATTTGAAAAAGACCACTGGAATAATGAATTTCTCTAAACGTCAGTGCAAGCTCTTCCAATCCACTATACTACCATTCACTAAATATAAACACTATACAGATCAAGGTGAAAAATGTTCTATGGCTATTGCCAGCCTGGGACAACTGGATTCATTTTCAATGTGTATAGTTTCTGAGCAATGATCATAACAGTTTTACTTGATATCAAATTAAGACTGCATTAAGGAAAAAAAAAAAAAAAAGATGTAGAATGGAATTCACAGAATTCACACTCACCTTTGCTATTCCAAGCTCCTGTTTCATGAATCTTGATTAATGGCAATAATTTTGTCATCTCTTATCTCTGTGAAATGCTAACACTTGTTAAAGGCACTCATATTCTGGGCTTAACGGAGAGAGGGTCACATGGGACCATAAGCCAGTACTTTTTTTGGTAGCTACCCAGGAAGGGAGTTTACAAATAAATGTTCTTTCCATTCATAATGGGAAGAAAAAGCCAAACAGATAGCAGGATTTTTAATGACAACTCACACAAAGATATTCACAGAGAAAAGAGACTTTGATGCTATGAGTTCTTATGAATGATTTTTACAACTAAAGATATTTTGTTGTTTAGGCTTCTGTCCATCCTTGTATACAGCATATAAAATGATACTAACATTATTCCTGGGGAGCACAGGATACAAATCCTAAAGCACATTACAGAACAGGACTAGACTACACAAAATGAAACCAACTGATCACTGACTCAGAAGCAACAGCCTGCTTAGGGGAAAAACACTGTCAACACAAAATGCATGAATATAAAAAATTCCATCATGCAGAGATGTATCTATTTAGGCATTTCCTGCCTAACAACTTCTGTCACCCTTTGTTTCACCTATGGAACACAGGAGACTACTGCAAGGTAACAAGCCCCAAACACAACCTACTGTCACAGAGATTTGTGATTTTTTGTCAGACGTGCATGTAAGCTCTATAAATGATCATGGAAGTTATTCCTCAACTCCCTGGAGTTTAGAAATTAAGAAGCAAATTGAGTTACTGTAGGCAATATGGTACTAAACTGTCATATAAAATAAACATAGTTCTTTTTTAGTGCAAAGAAATATAGCAAGTAAAAAATAACACTATAAATCTAACTTCATTTTTTAAAAGAAAATGCGCTTATGCATTCATAACATCCATTAAGGGCACTGGGAAACTGGAAACCTGAATACACAAGGCTTGAAAAAATATCAAGCCCTTAAGTCCACTGCTTTTTGTATGTATATAATGAAAGTGTTAAGCGGGGAGAGTGGGGGAAACCTTTCCTTTAATTTTATTTCCAAAGGAAAAACCAAAAGTAGACAAATGCCACCTTTACAAAATGTAAATTCATATCCACAATCTTTTGATGTTATCGGAAATAAGGATTCAATGAAATGTTTTCTATGGTATCACATAAAACTGTTTTATATATGGGAGTATGTGTATACACACACACCTACAAAAAGAGAAAGAAAATGAGATTTTTAAGTAATCATAGAACCAAGTGGCCAGCACTATAATATCAAAATCTACCAAAAAAATATACTTAGCAGCAAAATGAGTAAACTACTGGCCCAGAAGGTAAGCCCAAAATTGCCCTAAACTAATCAACTATACTTTATAGATTACTGAAAAAAGGGTTATGTTATTAAGAGTCACAGGTCTAAATAGAATCTCAACAGATCATTATTTCATTCTTCTGTTTTGGAGAGAAAAAAATTAATAAATAACTCTAGTTTTCAATAAACCACCACTTCACCTTGATGCTGTACTAGATAACTAGAGGTTAATCACAAACCTGACTTTTAAATATGGGTCTACATTATTCAAAATTTGTTTCAAAGTATTACAGAAAAAGAACGATGATTATAATTATAATTTCCTTTTCCCCAACTATTTCCCTATAAAATTCTCAAGGAAAAATAGGAGTTTTAATTAGTTACATAAGCAATCAAATGTGAAGTGAGCGAAGTGCAAAGATACTGCTCAACATAAACTTCCTGGTGAATGTGGCCTTTCAAAAGAAGTGGATGAGCACCAGTCTTATCCATGTAAAGTACAGTACAGTAATAGATACAATGCAGTTAATGAAAGTTCACAGAATACTCCATTAGCTAATCTAGACATACACTAAACCTTATTTTTAAAAAAACAAAAAATAATAATAATAATACTGTTGTAATTATCAGATTACAACAAAGTAATCTATAATATATTTTAAAGTAGTCCAAATTACAAAGAATAAAACTAAAGTTCGTGTATTTTTCTACTAGAAATGGTGAAACTGAAACTTGGTTAGCTTTTCAAAAAATGTCTGTTTATAAACAGCAGGTGGTAGTATTTTTCAGGACAGCCACAAACTGGCAGTACAGGAAGAACGTTAAGTAAAGTGTAAGGATTGGATTATCTAAAAAGTGTGCCAAAACAAAATACCAAGAGATGTGAACTTATGGTTAAGACCATCATATAAGTGTTATGTTACTGTCGATGATGAAGTAACTCTAAATTTAAAAATATAACACATCTTTACGTTTCCTAAGTCGAGGTGAAAAAAAATTCTTTTAATCATATCCATCTTAAACTCATTAGATATTCAAATGTGGGTAACTCTAAATTTAAAAATATAACACATCTTTACGTTTCCTAAGTTGAGGTGAAAAAAAATTCTTTTAATCATATCCATCTTAAACTCATTAGATATTCAAATGTGGGACTTGGAACACCCATAGCACAGCTGGGGTATAAAAATGAGCCTGTCACAGAAGCTGATTCAACTGGGGCGGGGGTGGCGGGAATAAAAGAAGAGGAAAGGAGGTATCAACTAAATGTATGAAATCTACAACTGGAAATGAAATTTAGCTGCTATTAAATACACAAGCACATTGGAAGTGTCTGAATTCAAGAAAACCTGCATTTCAATGATGGAGGAAAACAATCCAAGGAAAAAAGGTCCTGGGAATGACTCTAATGCAGTTTCTAATAGCATATCCCACTGACAATGCATTGAGGTGGTGGTTCCAATGAAGCCTTGGGAAACCGAAATCTCTGCTTACCTATTTTTACTGTGATTTCAAGTAAGAACTTAATACAATTCTTTATCAGTACATAAAACTAAAATTGCAAAGAAGATGACATTTTTAAATAGTCATAGCTGTAAGTGGTCAGGCTACTAGCTGGCGAACTTGGCCAAGATAAAAAGTTGTTTCTGATGGGGTAGGTAGATCACATGCTATAAGTAGCTCAACACAACTGACCTGAAAAAGCATTATGACCTAAGAAGCACGTTCTCCCCCACTCCCAGCCCACCCCCAGTTTTGACATCTCACGGTACCACTGCAGGTTGGTTACAGGTATTAACGTTAAGCAGAAGAACATACTCATATCAAAAGGACCACAAAGCAGGGCAAGTTGACAGAAGGCAAACAACAGGCAGGACAAGCTGCTCTATCTGAATACAACAATCACTATACATATCCCAGATTCTCCATCTCATTCCTATACCGCTGTTCAGACACCTTGCTTTTATGTTGCTTGCTCTCTAAATGCTGCCGGAATTCCACCTCTTCGCCAGCCCCAACATTACACATTGAGCAGTAAAACTGGCCACTTGGAGTAACACACATGGCTAGATCACGTGGAATTCTCTGCCGAGAGCGGGGATTGAAGTAAGGACCTGCTAAAGCAAGAGATAAAAAGAACATTCAAAATATTCACTAAGTGAATGATGGTCTGACCAATTACCACTGTAATGTGTAATTCTATATTCAAATTACAGAGTTCACAGATTCTTAGCTTTAAATGAATGTGAAGTTAATAGGTTTTTAAAATTATAATTTTATACAGGTTCAATCTAAAAAGATAAAACGATTACCCCAACTGTTCTCAGAAAGAGAATACTGTGGAGCCAAACCCAAAATCTAAATAGCTATGTCTCTAAAAGGTGAATACAGTTTTAAAAAATTTCTAAGCATTATGTCAAAAGTCTTATAATTATGCCTTTAATCCAAAAATTCTACTTCTAAGAATTATCCTAAGATTAAGAATTCCTACACAGAGATTTACCAGCAACAACACTTATTTCAGCAGTTTTTATAAAAGTAAATATCTGGGTGGGATGGGGAGATCCAAAAATAGAATTTGAAAAATTATGGTACCGAATGCAGTCACTAAATGGAAAACTATGCAGTCACTAAATATGCTACACAAAATTCTTTTAACTACATGAAATATGATTATAATATGCTATTAAGTAAGCCAAGAGTATCACAAAATACCCCATTTATATTTTAAAGAAGTAATATATGAAGAGATCAGACTGACATATACAGATATGTTGGTGACATCACTGATAACTTTATTTTTTCTTTTTACATAACTAACTTCTTAAGCTAGACCATTACTTCATTAATTTTCTGCTTTTTACTATAGTAATAAATATTTAATGCTTTTCTCAAAATACTGCTTTCACTGCAGTCTACAAATTTTGATATGATATTTTCATTACTATTTGGTACTAAGAATTTTTAATTTCTAGTATGATTTCTTCTTTGGACCATGACTTATTTAGAAGTATTGCAAAATTCCCAAATAAAAATTTCATTTGTTTTTATATTTTTATTATTGACCTCCATTTAATTGTACTCTGGTTAGATAACATAATCTATACTACCTTCATCCTAAAATTTATTTTATCTGATATTAACACAAGAATCCCAGCTTCCTTCATTTCAGCTGAACTTTAGTAAATTTACATTTGTTATAATTACTAACATATGTTTAGACTTTTATTAGTCATATTGCATTGTACTTTCTATATGTTCCTTTAGGCTTCTCTTGCTCTTCAGTTACCTTTGTTTTTTGTTTGATTTACTATTCACATAAATGATCTCTTCTGGTATGTATGTATGTATTGCAGGCTGAGGTAGGGGGAAGGATGAGGGACTACTCAGTCCTACTCTCCCTACTGAAGATAATCAGAAAAAGCAAAAAACATTTCTATAAACTAGTGTTTCTCAACTGAATGTGTAAATCAGAATCACCAAAGAAGCATTTTCTTCTTTTCTTTTGTGTTTTTGGTGGCTGGCCAGTACAGGGATCCGAACCCTTGATCGTGGTGTTATAACACCATGCTTTAACCAACTGAGCTAAGCAGCCAGCCATCAAGGAAGCATTTTCAAAACACACACACGTCTGGGTCTCACTCCAAATTCACTGATTGAAAATCTCTAAGTTACGGTTCAGACATGTGCATTTTATAAAAACTCTTTTCTTTTGTGTTTTTGGTGGCTGGCCAGTACAGGGATCCGAACCCTTGATCTTGGTGTTATAACACCATGCTTTAACCAACTGAGCTAAGCAGCCAGCCATCAAGGAAGCATTTTCAAAACACACACATGTCTGGGTCTCATTCCAAATTCACTGATTGAAAATCTCTAAGTTACGGTTCAGACATGTGCATTTTATAAAAACTCCCTGGGTGATTCTGATTCACTACCCTGTTAAAAACCACTGCTATAATCTTTTTTCTTTCCCCCAAGAAATGGGAATTGAATGTGGAGCAACTTTAAACCAAGTAGCCCATTTTTACAATGCATTTTACATTTCTCACTGCCAAATACCAGAAAAAACATAAAGGGATCATGATGAGAACCTAAGACACAGACTATGGTTTAAAACAAAAACAAATAATATACTAAATAGGAAGTGAATAAATAAGACCTGAAATAAACATCAGCCTGAAAAGTCACTAGACCAATTCATCAAAACAATGACTAACCCCAAATTCTCAGGGCTATCTATAACCATTAAAGGAAATAAAAATGAAGGAGACTATTTGCAGAATGTAGCCAAGGTATGTGGAAATACACAGGATACCTGAATTATTTTGAACTGTATACATATTTCTTCTATTAGGCATCATCTTAAATTCATTCCCGTCTTTCCGGGCCCGTCGTTGACCCACCTCTGAGGATTCCCTGGAGAAAAAATTTTAGAAGAGTAAGATTTCTAAACAAGGATACCTTTCAACTCTTTTTCTTTACAGTCAGTCTCACATAACACTCTGGCCTCAGAGAAAATGGCAATACCTACGAGAATGAGTTACTCTGAGCTTCCGCCAGCCGCAGCCTCTTGGCATGATTCTTCCCTTGATAGTGAGCCTGAGCCACAGCTGGAGAACTAAAGGAGGCATCGCAGAGCTTACAGTAATCATTCTCTGTGGCCAGGATCACTCTGCCTCCTGGTTTAAAGGAGCCCATCTGACATCAAAGACACAAGAAGAAACAGGTTAAAAAAATATGGAGGTTATTCCCTCCTCCTCCTCCTCAAAGGTTCTTCTAAGAGTTGAAAAATAATCAAAGGATATGGCATGACTACAAGGACTCAGCTTTATAAAGAAAGGAAATAATTCATTCAAGAAAAAAAAA